CAGATATCACTGTATCTGACTCAAAACATCAATCCCAGTAGAGCGCTTTCAGACACTGTGTCAATACTGAATTGTGATTTCAGGGTGACTGACAGACTGAAATTCTGGCGGACAGAACCTAAGATATGGCAAACCCTAGCTGCCCCAAGCACTGGCTATGGCAGCGCAATACTCAGAATTCCATTATCATTGACAGATAGGTCCTCAACTATCCATTTCACAATGTATACTGAATCGCAATACTGTAAAACAGTCAGAGATGCAATTTGAGACAGAGAGGGGGTCAAACAGAGTCAGTAGAAGTCAAAGTAGATAGGTAGGAGAAATAGTTATGGCAGTCAAGCAGTGCGATTTTCAACTTTCATTGACTATGGACATCCAATTTCGATTTCTCCAGTCTAATTACAACTATCAGACTCGCTGCAGAGACTTGAGTAAGGAACACACTTACTTCAGGGCAAAACGTTCGAAGAAGAAGCTGAACTGGCTATGGCTGCTATCTCGCCAGTTTCTTCCATTCACTGTTCCTGGTGCTCCCACGTTCAAAATGTCCTGAAACTTGGTGATACTGAAGCTCTTGATATGGCGATTAATCCCCACTACTCAGATTCACTGAATCCGACTCAGAATCTGGAACTTGACATACCCCCAGGTATCTCGCCACTAGCAAAGTCAACGCCTCGGCTAAAAATAGCCCCTCAGTGCCTCCCAGGCCACTGAGCACTGAATCGTCACCAATCTCTGTGTCATACCAGCCTCCACCCGCTCCTCACCAACACCCTACTGAGCGCAGTACTGAAGATGCGATTCCACCATGAAATCCAACGTCCCTAGCTCTCAGGTAGTGACGGATGCCTCAGTCCATCATCTCGCCACTGTCTGGGTCCGATCTGCTCCGATACCAACTGTTATGAACATGATTGTCCGTTGAAATTTTGTCAACGCTCACTCACGAGATCTCCCGTACACACCCATACGTGCACAAAAGGAAGGGAAGAGGTAGTGGAGTGTCACACCGCCCAACAAAAGAAACACAGCGGAAGACTCAGAAGAGCGAAGTGACAGAATACACAACACGGTGGACTCTCTCCACAGAAGTCCCAACAATCATTCATAGAAGACAACCGAGAGATCACAGCCAGAAATCAATGAAGAGATGACCACTCGAACACAGTCTTACAACTGTTTATTAAACTCAGAGCGTCGTTTTCACTGAATAACCTCAGAAACCTGTTGCGCTACCCTCAGAGGGGTAGCGCCTCAGCCCCACACACCCCGAACAGCTAAAAATAGCACCAGAACCCCAGGTAACACCCAGCGCCACCCTGACATCCAACGCAGTGGCCTGCGCCAAGATGTAACAGGCTCCCAGAGCCAATCGCCACTCAGATGATGAGGAAGAAGCTCAGCACCAACGGTCTTTGATGAAGATGAAGTCCAGACGATGATAATCTCTGAGAAGATGCAGCTATGGCTGCATCGCCACTGGGACCCTACTCCTGAGGAGGGTCAGCAGTGCACCACGTGCTCCAACGCATCAGACCTCTGATAGCCCAGACCGCTTTCACTCCCAGAGAGTCAGAGCGGACAGCGTTGACCCCAGTCTGGTCAGGGCTCCGAAGGTCTGGCTATGTCCGCCGTCTCCCACGCATGGATCAGTCACCACGACCTGATGCCGCGTGCGCAGCAACTTCCACCATGAAGTGTCAACTGCCAAAAGCCCTGGACCGATTCTGTCAACCTATCTATACTCTACCCTAGCCTAGACTCGACCTAGACCGAACCGACTGACCGACCGGTACCGTTTCTGTTTCGGCCCTTAGGGCCTCTCCCTACCCGGCTATAGGCTATAGGACCGTCTATCAGCGTAGGCCCATTGGGCCTGTCTGTCCTAGGGGTAGCCCGGGTCTGCTATGCGCAGTTGGGGTAGCTGTAGGAAATTCGAGTTAGTACTGGGCCCATATTTCCTATATTTACAAATATGTCCCTCACGAATTTTCCTTACAGTTAGGTCTGTCGGTTAGCCCTCAGCCAAACAAAATTACGAATCTGTCCCTACCTATGGTACAGCCTCGTCAGAGAGAGGCTACAGGCAATCTGGAACCAGCAAGTCATTGCAATGATACACCTTCAGATCACCTGATGGAGCCCCCAGCTGAAGATCTCTCTCAGGAGCATATACTAGAGCCAATGGAGGTGATACAGCCGGAGGAACATGACAGAAATACTCAAGACCGCAATGAATCCCTGCCTGCTGTGCCATCTGCAGAATTGGATGAACCTGCCTCTGCCGCACAACCTGCAGAATCAGATGATCTCATAGTGCTACAGCTAGGCCATTGTGTGCAGAATCAGATGATCTCATAGTGCTACAGCTAGGCCATTGTGTGTACTATCATACTACTATGCCATGAATGAATGTCTTCTCGCTTACAATTGCAACCCTTATGCTGTTTCTGTTCTGCAGACGTTGTCCTCTCAATAGAAGCAGAGCACCGTGCTGTCTGTCCAGATGACGACAGTGCACCTGGCATGACCATAGAAGTCCTGTCCATGGCATTTATGGGCATAACGCCAGCCTGCTCCAGAGAATCACATGCCAGGCATGGATCCAAATGTTCATGCATGCATCCTACATCGTCCAGGTCATTTCAGTGCTCCTACCTTTGCAGATAACTCATAGACCCTATGGGACAATGGGAGTAGGGTGCACACAGCAGGAAATATTAACTCTTTCTATCACCAAGCGTTAGAATATCACTTGGTCTGGCTTGTCCATCAGGAACACTATGATGTTGTGCACCCGCAAGCCCTACAGCCCTGGAGAGCAATCTGGCTAAACCTCTCCTTCCCCTGTACACGGCCAGGTAGCGTCCCCTCCCTTTGTAGATCGGATGGAGTCTACCACGGACAGTGAAGGAGCCTCTCCAGAGGACGGTGACTGTGCCATCCCATTTTGTTGTCACACAGCCACAGTATGGTTAGCATGCACACGACATAGTCTCTGCTTTGACCACTATGAAGGGATGGTCACTGCCAGTCTCTGCCATGAAAACTGCAACCCTTTGTCTTGTACTCATCCCTCCCACCCCGTAATTACTTGCCCAGTATGCCTTTGTGGCCTTGATATGCCATGCCTAAATAACTGTGAACGTCAGCCTGCTTTCCTGCTGACATGTCAGCAACATGCCATGTGTCGTCAATGTTTCCAGGAAGCTGTCATAGAAAGTATGTGTCTCTACTGCGTGGACTACCCCCAATGCCATCATCCACCACATCCTCTCTTAGCATGTCCCACATGCAGTGCTGGGCACACACCTGTTGCAATCGCAGTAGGATCTCCCTTATCCTTGCCAGACAAAGGACAGATGCAGCATCCTGAGAAGGAAAATAGACAACCATATGAACCACCTACAGAGCGCCGTAGTTAAAGGTTATCACCACCAGGGCAAGCTGTTGCAGACCAAATCCTGCAGTAGCTACACACCCTGGCTTGGGATCAATCCCCATCATCGTCTGCCCATAGAGGAGGAATAAATACTGGGGAAACCTGCTCAACGCCATTCTGTGATTACCCACCTGAGATCCGGCTAGCATGTGGTTCACAAGCCTTGTGTCGTGAGGATTATGAAGGGATAGCCCTTTTGAGTTTTTGTTTTCATACGTATGATGACAGTCAATACTGCAGTCATGTACGACACCCTGACATGTTGCGTCCAGTTTGTATGCCTCTACAATTGTGGTCGGCGTGCCTGTGTGTTCCTAGCATGTAGAAGCCACGTGGCCTGTGACATCTGTCTATGCCGTGCCATTCGATGGAGCAACTGCAACTGCGAGAATTGGATGTGGTGCTTCTACAGTCCACCCGCGAACCGGTCCTGTCCGGTCTGTAGGGATGGCCACTTACCATAGGCAATGGCTGCTCCTCAACTCAAAATCAAACACTGACTGGCCTCATGTGCCGTTCTAGAGTAGTCCGCTCCTGTGGTGAGTGTTTAGTACCCTGTGAGAACTCCACCTCCTATTTCCTTCCTCCCTCCTCTTCTGTACTACTAGTAAATGCATACGAATGAGCATCATTATGAGAACAGTCAAGTATAAGCCGAAGATCTGAGGAAAAATGAACGAGAATATACCTCCGCCTTTACTCTGCCTCCTTTCATAATGTGCAAGTGGGCTGTTATGGCACACAGGGATGTGGGAAGCTTGCGCTCAACCACAGTCAATGCTGCGAGCGTTGTACATGAGAGGCACAGTAAAAGGGGAGTTGCAAGGACAAATGAAATGGGTAACCAAAAAGCCAAAGTGAACACAGTTAAGAAAGAGATTTAAACACTTCTATTTTGCTCCATGTTGCTTGCTGTGAAGGTAACTGTTTCATTGTTGGTTTGTCTCAACTCAAGTGGATTCTCTGGGTGGAATAGGGGCTGTTGCGGTGAAAATTCAAAACACACACACACACACACACACACACACACACACACACACACACACACACACACATCATCAGGATGTGAGCATGCATAAGACCTTTCACACAAAGCCTGATCCAAGGGAATCGAACCCTCAACTTAAGCACTAGGCCTACCCATTTAGCCTATTGAGCTTTGTGTAAAGTTGTTGCGCATGCACACACCATGATGATGAAGGATGCTCTTCACTGTCAAACTAGTTCCAAAGTGAACCCCATCAAGGAATCCTTCACCCCACCCTAGAATGGATTGCTTCACAACACACGATGCTGAGCATAGAGCACATCAATCTGAGAGTAGTAGATCTGATAGGTATGCTTTTTTTCTTCTGTTTTGCATTTTGACACCATGATAATAATTATACCTTGACACCCTCCCTCCCTTCCCCTGGCTTTCCTCCATTCACTCGCAACTTCTTCTTTTTTGTTTCGTTTTTTTCACTCGCCACTTCTGCTGACGCATCTCTGTGCAATCCCCACAATCAGTGTGTGTTGAAGGTGTGATGATTTCATGTGGCTTCTGGTGCAGGTACTAACACTGATTTGGATGCCTGACCGGGATCGAGCACGAGTTTATGCCGAGGATCGGAAGGTAATTCATTTTTCCGGTTCTATGAAAAACTTTTCAGCTTTTCGAAGACTGCGAAATGGGATCTCAATCTGCTAATCCAGACCTGAGTGGACTATTTCTGAGCCTTTTCCCTCAATGCAGTGGGCCAAGGGTCTAATGATCTTCCATTACTTGTCGAACGGTGGGCTGGGAAGGGTGAAAGGGACAAGAAACTGGGCCCTGTGACATACTGTTTCATCAGACTTTTAATCAACTCATCAGGAGGTTCAACCCTTGACAGCCTGCTGTCCCCTAACTGGTGATACTGTAAGTGATAGTATTCCACATTCGCTGCCGTTGGATGTGGGCACCAACCACTGTGTCACAACTGATATGGGCACCAGCAACTGCCCTCCAGGGTAGCTGTGACGAAATCAGAGCAGACTATCACCCACCCAAACCAGACAGAAGAAGGTATTGTAATGACCCGGCCAAAACACAGACTGAAAACACTGCTTATTTCTGGGATTTGCCGATGGAATGTATGCCTTGCTGAGATTCCCGCATTCTGCTGTGATTTCTAAGTCAGTGTGTGTGCGTGCCTGCTGGTCTGCGTGCTTGTCTGAGTGCTTGTCGGCCTGAGTGTGTGTGTGACCCGCAAGGGTACTTGTTGGTTAAAAGGCGCCACAGGGCCGGTACTTACCTGTGGCCATGACTTTGCGGGTTGCAGCGGTGAAAACACTCAAGTAGGGGGGGTAGGCCCACGGCACTTAGAGCAGCGGGAAAAACACTCAAGTAGCAGGTAGGCCGGTACCACTCAAGTAGTGGTAGAAGTGTCGGGTACTGGAGGCCGAGCAGAAGAAGATAAAAGTTGGCATTTTTAGAGGCCCAGTAGCGGTAGGTTAGAGGTAGGCCGGTACCAGTCCAAGTAGCCTGAGTCTAGGGCTTGTCCGGACGATATCAGAGCCTGCAATGATGTTTCCCTCCGAAAGGGAAGAGGTACCGGTTGCTGGTAGGCCGCTCGGCCTAGGAAGTCACCGCCCAAGAGGCCAGTACTAGGCCGCTATATCTTCAGGAGGAGCAAGCAGCTCCTCATTTTGCGGTGTGCAAGGATTGGCGACATACTGCTGGAGCCACGCGCTGGACTTGGGAGCGCTGTCTGGTGGAGGAGCGAAGCTGGGTGCTCAGCCTGGCTACGGCGAGCAGCCCAGCCTGAGGAGGAGGAAGAAGGGGGCGAAGGAGGAGAGTGGTGAGGTACCTACCTGGCTATGGTGGACACCATCTTCATCACCCTGTTGGGCGCGCCATCTGGAAGGCCCCAGTTGGGGTAACGCCACACCAAGGAAGCTCGAGGCAGAGTCAGGCATGGCAGCTTAGTGAGCAGTGGCATAGCTGCTTTGCGTTGTCCTTTGGACAGGAGTGCAGCACCATAGCTGCTTTGGGTTGTCCCTTGGACAGAAAGGCAGGGCCCTTAGTAGTCCGCCATAGCCCAGGCATGTGAGAGGAGGAAGAAGGGGGAAGCCATGGCTATGGTGGACCTGTTGTTGTGTCAGCAGTAAGAGGGAACTTCGGATATTGATTCTGGTTCATCTTCATCACCTTGTTGGGCGCTGCATCTGGAAGGCCCCAGTTGGGGTAACGCCACACCAAGGAAGCTCGAGGCAGAGTCAGGCATGGCAGCTTAGTGAGCAGCGGCATAGCTGCTTTGCGTTGTCCTTTGCACAGGAGTGCAACACCATAGCTGCTTTGGGTTGTCCTTTGGACAGAAGGGCAGGGCCCTTAGTAGTCCGCCATAGCCCAGGCATGTGAGAGGAGGAAGAAGGGGGAAGCCATGGCTATGGTGGACCTGTTGTGGTGTCAGCAGTAAGAGGGAACTTCGGATATTGATTCTGGTTCATCCACTCATTGTTATTATTATTATTATTGGAAGAAGAATAAGATTGGCGAAGTGAAGGAGGAGGAGGAAGGTGGAGAGAGAAGGTGGATTTGCCATTGGTCTTGCTGGTGTACATCTTCTTCTTCTTCTTCTTCTTCTTCTTCTTCTTCTACTTCTTCTTCTTCTTCTTCTTCTTCTTTCTCTCTTCTTTGGTCTCTATCTCTTTGCAAGTGCTTTCATTTCTTTCGCACTTGGGTGGCATTGTCTTTCTTTGTGAATTTGCACTTTGGAAGTGACCAGGATCGTAACAATTGGTATCGGAGCGGACTTACTTGCTGGCGAGAGGTGTTAGTCACCCTAACCCTAATTCCGGATTAGGTTAGGGCTAACCTAATCTCGGATTAGAGTTGGTGGTTAGGGTTAAGAGGGGCAGTAAGGTATGTGGATGCTGCCCCCATCTGGTTAGGTCGTGTAGGGTCGACATCAGACCTGACCAGGTTGCTTGTGTGATTGAATGGGGTGGCGAGACACAAAGGAGGCTGATTGAAGCGAGAGGGAGTAGAGAGTGAGAGGTACTCGCACCTGGAATCTGCACTTCAAGAAGACATTAGTGACTTTTGGGCTTCCCCTAAAGAGGGAGACTTGATCGGAGGCTGCCATATCTGCATCGAAGAGCTGCAAGTTGCTACTTTGGTCTTCAACATCGACGAAGGATCCGACGTTGTAACAGGGGTGTAGGGAGGCCCTCTTAGTCATGCTAGGACACTTCGTGTAGTGGTAGCTAGGGGTCAGGAGGACCAAGGAGAGAGGCAGGTGAAACCGGTAGAGGGATCCACCAGTGCTAGCTATGGCAGTGACCTGGATAGAGAAATATGGACGACACTGTTGTTAACATGCGAGATTACATCCCTTGTTGCTATGGTGTCTATCTGTTTTTTGCTGTCCACCGTCCTGCATGGGCTGTGTAGCCGCAGTTTGCCTA